TATTTTAAAATAATGTTAAATTTATTTAGTCTTGTAAACAAAATAGTTAATACACTTAACTATTTTGAGCCATGAAAACTTTAGTTGGTATGTCCCAAAAATGTAAAGCGACTCACCAGTTCTAATCCTGTTGGCTGTCTGAGGATAGGGAATGTATTCAAGTACCTTTCAATACAATCTTCATCAAAAGATTCAAATAGTTGGACTCTGTACTCATAGCTAGATTTCCAATGTAAAGCTGCTGTGCTAAAAGGACCAAGATTGACTTTGAGCCAATCAACTGCCACAACAGCATCTTGAGGAACAACTAAAAAAAAAAAAAAAAAAAAGAAGGTTGTTTAATGCTGTCAAACCTACCCACCCCTACAACAAACAGAGTAATAGGTAGATGTTACATACCACAGTCCGGAGAGCTCGTCCTTGGTTTCTTGTAGCTATGGATTTTACTGACTAGGCCAACTTCCATGCCCCTCTTCCTCCAACTTTGCACCTGCGTACAAAATTTACCCCTAGCTTGGAAAACCTGCCCATCTATTCGTTTGTGCGGGGTGTAGTAAGTTATCTGCAAAAAGGGGAAAGAGTTAAGAAAACAATAGACGTATTTGTTAACACAGTGCAACAGGATAGATATAAATAATGATAAAATTATAAAAAGGCACTCACATAAGATTCACCATCAATAGCCCCAGCCACTCCTTTGGCAAGAGAAAGAAGCCGTTTTGAATCAATTCTACAAAGAGAGAGTAAATGAAACATTATTAGGATGAAAAGAACTGCACACAATTACAGAAAAAACAAGTGAGAAGTGTTTCACATGTTAATATGCAATCTTGGGAGAATAAGTTAGTTGACGCTCCCAGATCCATACAAAGGACAGACTATCACCCCGGTATGTAATACATTTCTCACTAGTTTTCCCAGTGTTGGTACATGCAGCAAAAATAATAGAATGCTCACAATTTTGATTCAGATTTCCGCAACTCTTCACAAATTACTAATTCCGCAATGCGGTCCCTATCTTCATTCTTTAAGTCATCGCTCTTGGTAGCAAGCAGGACCTGACCCTGGAATGTCAAGCTGAGAACTTTCTTAACCTCCTGTTAACCAATTAAACAATACAATTAGTCATGCGGATATTAAAAATAATATGAACAAACATACAAACAAATTTTAAGGAATACCGTAACTAGCTCCTCGGAATTTTCTTCCTCCTCATCTGAATTGAAAACAGTTGATTCGAGTTCTACAGAGCTGTCTTTTGAGGTGGATGGATCCACATCTGGCTTTTGAGTATCTGCAAAATAAATGCAGAACATTAATATACTAAACATTGTCAAAGCCATCAACAATGACAGACATAACATTCAGAACTAACCTGAAGAACTTGGCTTGGGCTGACGAAGTGCTACTATCTCCCGTTCGTAAACGAAAGAGAACTTTAAAACCTTCCCATACGGCAGTATGTACCGCAAATCCTCCGCAGACAATGTCAGAAAGGCATCATATTTGATCTCATGTCCTGCGAAATAAAGAAGTATTTCAGAAATTGAGGTTAGAAATGCAGGTGACAATACTTTGTTTCTCTATATTTAATTTTAAATACAGTTGACAGCTATTGTCTTATCGCACAGACGCCACGAACCGAATAGAACACACGAAAACCTAACCTTGATAACCCTGCAAAAATGTGCTCAGATAACCTCTCGTCGCAGCGTTCAGGAAATTTTGTGATTTTATGAGCAAGTCCAACTTATTCTGAAGTTCCCACTTCACATCACGTATCACATAAACTTATTATAATTATAAGAAATAATACTTACTTGTGAAATGCGGAATCAAATCAGGAAATCCCCACTCAGTAAGCGCAAGCCTGAGTTCAAGTTCAACTTCACCTCCTCCGTCTTCAACGCTTGGTTTGACGTTTGACATGCCGACTGATTGCTATTCACACAGCGAATGAATGAAAAACGAATATCGCTAGCGGATATGAGAAGTTCATCGGCCAGAACTAGAACGACCCTCTGCCGGCGATTCGATATATCGATTAACTGGAAGTAGTTTGATTGCAGTTCCGAGCACTAACCGGAAACCAGTTCCCAGGACAAAATGTGCGCGTTGCTTCGAAAAGAACCCGATTAGAGCCCAGCCCTAGACAACTTTACTGCTAAGCAATACACAGTTAATGGAGAGGCAATAAGTGTTTTGGGCTGGACAAAAAGTAGGGAGCATTAGACAAACGTTTAGTGCCCAGCCAGAAAAATTTTTCTCAGTGCGGCCCGGTGGACGTGTGTGTGTGTGTGGGGGGGGGGGGTACACAGCCGTATTCACACACGGAGGGGGCGGCCTGCGCCTGTCCCACGGTGCGTGGTATGGAGCACACGGGATAGCCACTACTTGTGAAGGCCCACGTTCTCCCTTCCCGCCCGTCCTGGAGGCAGTAGTTGTGAAGGCCCGCCGTCGTCCTGGAGGCACTTGTGAAATGCCCCCGTCCTGCGGAGACTCGTCCTCTGAAGGCCCCCGTCGTCGTCTTTAATAAGGACAGTCTGTGAAAGTGAAGGTCGCCGTCGTCGTCGTCCCGGAGGCAACAGTTGTGAAACCCGCGTCGCCCTCCTGGAAGGCAGTTGTGAAAGACACCTGTTTGTCCTGGCGGCAGCCGTCGTGGAGGCCCCGTCGTCATCGTGGAGGCCTACTAGTTTCTGAAGGCCCAATTTGTGTGCTGGACGCGCGTGGGGATGTCGCAGCCTCCTGTTTACGTTGGTCGTCCTGCTGCTGCTGCTGCTGCTGCTGCTGTTGACTGTCAACACGAAGGCCCTCCTCCTCGGCGTGCTGCTAGCTCCCTACGCCAAAGGCCACACAGCGGGTCAACGCGTCGTACCGTACAGCCAGGTCGAGTTGACCCGGTTTTCCTTTTATATACCGCTCTAAAATGAAAGCTGGCGGACAGGCCGGCCGCCGGGACGCGCATTGCACCGGGAGCAAGGCAGCAGCAGGGCGCGCGGAGCAGGGCGGGGCTGGTGCCTTTGCATCTTTAATGTCACGCCTGCGAAATAAGTCTCGCGAGGATATATTCAGGAGATCCAGGAGGGACCCTCCCCATCCCTTTTGCCCGTCATAGTTTGGCGTCTCCCCCGAGACACGCGTTTTTGTTGTCGTTGCTCTTTTTTTTTGCTTTGAGGCTACGGGACACGGACGGACATACACACACTGACACACCTATGGGTTTCCAGAGAGAAGACACCATCTGATGTGCACAGTTGTTGCACACATTTCTGAGCAGATACTTTTCTTGAGAGACAGCTACTATCCGCAAGGCTAGGGTTGGAAGCCCTGGAAAGTTTCCGGAAAATTTCAGGAAAATTTCTGGAAAAGACGGAAAACTTCCGGGAAAAAACGAAATTTTTTCCAGATTTTGAAAAGTTTTCCGTTATTTTTGGTATATTTTCGGAAATTTTCCGGAAAGTTTGGAAAATTTCCAACCCTATCTGCGAGGCCATAGAGATAGCATTGGGAACCTTGTCTTCCCATCGCTTATTTTCCTGGGCACCCCCACGACGCGTGGAAGCAATCAATCTACTTGACGTTGGGTGGGAGGGTTGGTGGTGGTGGTGGTGGTGGTAGGGGATCTCATCTCTTTGTCACCCGCATCAAAGGGAGGACGGGGCGACGTGCGAGTCACCGTGTTAAACCGCCAGTATCTTCCGCTACAGCGGCTTCTCCCCGGCATCTCCCCCTACCCACCCTCCTAACCCGCCGGGGCCGGGGCCGGGCCACGCCGCGAACCCTTCATACCACGCCGAGCGTGCAGCTTGCGAAAACAGGCTAATTTTATGCAGAGCTGCCTTTCCAAGACACGGGCTTCCCCTACCTTCCTGCCCCCCACTCCACCTCTTTCTCTCCCTCCCTCTCTCTCCCTCCCTCTCTCCCTCCCTCTCTCCCTCCCCCCCCCTCTCTCTCGCTCTACCTCTCTTGCTCTCTCTCTCTCCCTCTCTCGGCCTCATAGCGCCCGGCCGCGCCAGAGCCCCGGCGCGCAGCCCTGCCGTGCGGGCGGTCTACCCCCCACCTGGCGGGCGCTCGCCTCGGAGCGTCTCCCTCCAACCGTCGTTCGCTCGAGACTCGCAACAGATTCTATAAGCTCTCGGCTGGAACATGTTAATGACCTCTTACCAGAGTGTCCGAAATACACTTTATCGGCATCTCTTAAGGTGCTAACACTGCAAATCCTGGAGTGAGATTTCTGACCTAAAAAGAGCGAGAGTTTTTTTCTCCTTGCTCAATAAAAGTGATGATTTAGAAATCTCGCTCTTATTGAGAATGATTCTTAAAACTCGCTGAAATCAAACTTCAGAAATCTTCACTCAAAAAGAGCGAGATTTTCCCAATCATCACCCAAATAGAGTGACATTTTTTAATCTATAGCTCTAATCGAGCGAGGAAATCAAACCTCGTCCTCCAGGGGGCGAGTAAATTTGGTGAAAATTCTCGCCCTCCAGAGGGCGAGAATCCTCGCTCTAGGATTTCTAGTGAATATTTTCTCTGGAAGCTCAACTGTGTTCATCTATCCAGTCCTCCGAATACGAATACCCTGAGAGAGTAGTGTACTTGATCGTGTATTCAGTAGGTAATGTGTACGCATGGCCAAGTACACACTTCAGCAGCACACACTGATAAACTAAGTGTTTAACTGCTCAACACTTGTAAGTGTGCAACTGCTAGTTAAATACTTTCAAGTGTGCAACTGCAAGTTGAATACTTGCAAGTGCACAACTCGGGAGGTGTGCACTTGCAAGTGTGCAACTCCTCGGTTGAGCACTTCCTACACAGTGAGCGTTCCATCTAAGGAAGTGTTCAACCAAGGAGTTGTACACTTGCAAGTGCACACCTACCGATTTAAACACTTGCAAGTGTACGACTACGTAGTTGCACACTTGCAAGTAATCAACTTTCAGTTGCACACTTACAAGTGTTGAGCAGTTGAACACTTAGTTTATCAGTGCATACTTTTTATCATAGGGGTTTGTGTACTTACATGGCCAAGTACACACAAGTACACACTCCTGCTTCCATGATGGGCAACTACACACTTCCGAGTACCCTATCTAGTACACACCTTCTCCAGAATACATGTAGGTATTCGTATTCAGGCGGTACTGCAGACATACAGACTTTAGTTTCCAGAGTTATTTAAATCAGCAAATGAGTATGGCACTGTGGCGCAGAGTGGTGTCGCTTCAATAAGTTTGCCAGTGTAGCGCTGCTCGGCGTGCGTTGCGGGCCGAGTGTTTTGTTTGATCCGCCGTGAAGGGCCTGCTCGACGGCGGAGCCCTTTGCGGGACCCACCCGGTGAGCCCGCCGGCCCGCCGGTGAGCCGCTTTGACAATACTCTATGAGCCACTCTGAGGCGGGTCGCGTTTCGAGGAGGTGAGGTGAGAGGGAGTTGGGGGAGAGGAGCGCGTTGCGGCGTGGG